AAATATTTAAATGCAATATCACCTAAGGGGGCAGCTCCTTTCCTTTGTGTTCACCCTCTATTAAAGAACTACACCCTCTAATAGGAACTACCCTTTGCCTCAAGGAGGATTTGAATCCTTATGTGCACCAACTAGGGCCCCATCGAGCGCACAGAAGATCAGACACTGCAGTTAAAGGCACATTAGTCTATTTAATTTTTTTTCCCTCAGAATTAGACTCAGCCACTCAGAGCCCAAAGTGAGTTAGCCTTTCTGCTTGGTAGCTTCTTGACTTACTGGGAGGAAACACCTCAGGACTGGGGCTATCGTTTAAATTCTGAATTGCAGGACCTCTACAACTGATTACGATTGTGCTATGTTGTGACCTTTACTTGAAGTTACTAAAGTGACAGCTGTTATCTTATGCACATATTTTTCTGTTGCTTTACTGTGCCTACATTTGATCTCAATACAACCAAAATATTAGTTCACTCTAAACTGTGTGTGAGTCTATTTTTATGGTTGCAGTCAGAGGATTCTTCTGGCCTGAGGTTTAAGGTGGTGTCAGCAGGGGTTGGGCTTCAAGAGCAGGGTCAAGAAAGACAGGGAACCTGAAAATTACTCAACGGCCCCTAAGGGGGTAGTGTTACAATTGCTTTCTGTGTGCTGTCATAACCTTTTTATGTTACTTTTCTCGTTTTGTTTTTTTCCTGAAAAACAGGGAAAATAATGAGACTAATGAAGGGCACATGAACAGGCCCAGAATACTTGAAATAACCATCAGTATCCATATAAAGCCTGTTGTAACTGCAAAAACCACCAATAGATTTCCCCAAAATGAAAAAAGTTCACCAAAATCTACAAATTTTGGTTGAAATTTGGAATAATAATATAGTAATATTATAATAAAACAATCCTGCCAATGTAGGGCTGTTTTTGGCACAGGAACTGATCCAAGATGTTTGAAAGGAGGATCCATTAAAATTACATTGCAAAACCTTAAATTCGGCTATCTCATTGATTCCAATTGATTTTACCAAACTGGCAAGATTTTGCAGATATCTGATTTTGGGGTAAATAGGTGATCAGGCCTCAACCCTATCATGTGAGAGCAGGAAGGAGGCAACAGGAAGCATAATCTCCGAATGTGTACATGGAGTTTCTGGGGCCTCTGACAGTGAATCAGGTAGATGGGGAAGGTAAATACAGGATGATTCTTGCACTTTCCATAACCTAATCTCCTATTTTGTCTACTATAGGCAGTACATGATTAAAGTACAATCCAGGGATCGATCTGACTAATCTTAAAACTAATCTTAAAACTGCTCCATCCCCTCATTTAACACTTATGCTAGCTAACCTGTGAAAGAAAGGTGCATATGCTTGCCTATTCTCAGGCTGCTCAGGTCTGGTCATATGGTTTCCCTTGTGTCAGTCAGCGATAGGAAAGAGTGCTCTGATAACGGTTGGATTGCCTGAGTGGTGCTATCAACCATAGGCTTACCATGGGCCATCTGTTGTCTGCAGTCCCTCTTCTTCCGGGAAACCACAGCTAGTTGACACAGGGGAGCCGATCACAAGACCTGACCAGAAAATAGGTTTGTATACAAATTTTTCTTATATGGGGTAGTCAGTATAGGTGTTAGAAGGAGGGTGGGAACAGTTTTAAGATTAATCAGATTGATTTCACTTTAACCACATGCCGCCCAGCCACTGTATAAATACGGCGGCAGGGCGGCACGGCTGGGCAAAAGCACATTTTAAAACGTGTGCTTTGAAAACAGGTAGGGGGCATGCGCGAGGCGCGCCGCCGCCCTACCTGTCCCGCCGATCACAGCCGCAGATGTCAGTCGCCGGGTCACAGCCGGTCGTTACCGGCTATGTCCCGGCGATCGGCGGCAATCGCTGACAGAGAGCACAGCTGCAGTAGCTGTGCTTTCTGTCAGTTCCCTGAAAGCTCCAGGACACGCTGATCGGGGCAGAAGAGTTTCTCTCTCCCGATCAGCGGTGTTCCCTGCAGTACACACTCCCGCCCCCTAGTAAAACACTCCCCTCACACAGTTAACCCTTTTCCTGAATAATAAACTTAACCCCTTCCTCCCAAGTGCCATTAGTACAGTGTCAGTGTTTTTTTCTGCACTGATCACTGTATTGGTGTCACTGGGGATGTCAGTGACCCCAAGTCAGTACCCCCAGTGTCAGAATGTCCGCCGCAGTCCCGCCATAAGTCGCTGATCGCCGCCATAAGTCACTGATTGCCGCCATAAGTCTCTGATCGCCGCCATTATTAGTATAAAAAAAAAACTAAAAATCCCAGTATGTTTCCCGCCATTTGTAAACGCTATAACTTTCATGTAAACCAATTAATTTACACGTATTGGGGTTTTTTTTTAGCAAAGACATGTGGCAGAATGCATTTTGGCAGAAATTTATGACTAAATTTGATTTTTAAATTTTTTTTACTGGATATGTTTTATAGCAAAAAGTCCAAAATATTGTTTTTTTTTTTTCCTCAAAATTGTCAGCCTTTTTTTTTTATAGTGCAAAAAATAAAAATCACACAGGCGATCTAATACCACCGAAAGAAAGCTCAATTTGTGGGAAAAAAAGGATGTAAATTTCATTTATGTACCATATTACATGACCGCGCAATTGTCTGTTAAACTAGCGCAGCGCTGTATAGCAAAAAAATGGCGTAAATTGCAGTATTTATACCGTAGTTTGTAGATGTTATAACTTTCACACAAAGCAATCAATATACACTTATTGGGATTTTTTTTTACCAAAAACATGTAGCAGAATACAATTTGGCCTAAATTTATAACCAACTTTGAGTTTACTATATATTTTTTATAGCTGAAAGTAAAAAATATCATTTTTCTTCAAAATTGGCCTTTTTTTGTTTATAGCGTGAAAAATAAAAAGTGCACAGGTGACCAAATACCACCGAAAGAAAGCTCTATTTGTGTGAAAAAAAGGACGTAAATTTCGTTTGGGTGCAGCATTGCATGACCGTGCAATTATCAGTTGAATTAGTGCAGCGCCGAGTAGCAAAAAGAGGCCTGGCCATTAAGGGGGGTAAATCCTCAGGAGGTCAAGTGGTTAAGGACCAACTCCAGGAATTAAAAAAAAATTCACTCTTGCACTGTGATGGATAGGTGCTTGTTATCTCTAGAGATGCACAGAAGGGAAGTAACTACTCACTTTACTCTTGCCTCCAGTAGAATTCCTCCAGTGCTGCAATTGGTGCCCCACAGCCTGTTCTGTAAAGCTGCGACTGGCTTTGGTCACGCTCCAGCCATCTTAATGTAGAATACAGGCTTCATCTCCCTGTACTGTATGTGGTGATGCTGAGGCTCTATCCACAGACCAGAGCTTTGGCCAAAGAGAAGGACACCAGAGCTGGCTGAAGCAGGGTATAAGGTGAATGATATACAGTAACTTCACTGTGCACCCCAAAACATAACAAGCATGTAACACTGTTAGTGCGGGGGGCCCACTGCAGGGGTTTTTTTATTCCTGGAGATGGGTTTCAAGTGATGATTGAGGGTGGAATGTGTTAGTGAGGAGCCTGGCAGGAGTAATGATGCACAAATGGTCATGCAATGGTGTCATTAAAGTTTTTTGAAATTGAGGTTGCATGCTTACGGTTGCAGGGAGGATGTAGATCCCATATTGGGCCTAGCACCCAATGGTCAGTGGATAGCCTGGAAGTTGTCTCAAGCTGTACAGCTTGGAAGAAAAACTACAGGTTCTCCCACTTTAACTTGCTCCATGCCCATCTTTTCCCCTTCAGCCCATTCATTTCAAAACAAGAAAATAAATCCCCAACCCTTTCTTTAAAATTGCATCGCAGGGAACTGCATGGCAAGTGGGAAAATGCGGATGTTTTGGGAACGTGTGGAGGTGCCATTTTAAGAAATACTGGCACCCCGCATGTCTGCTAAAGAATAGTGTGCTGCTCTTGTGATTATGTGTGCGTCCCTGGCAAGCAATAATGTAAAAGGCTTAGAAAACGAAAAAGAATTAGGGTTGGTTCACATCTGAATCACACAGGAACGCAGTCCACGTTCTCAGAGTGTTTACTAGAAAGCGTAACTAGTGAAACAAGTTCATAACTTGCAGATAACAAGAGAAGCAAGTTCAAGTTCATAAAACCTGTGCAATGATTTCAGAATAGAAAAATAAAAATATTTGGCCAGGCCTGACATTTGACATTCATAATTTCTTACCTCATGACAGCTTCATGTATGCAGTCAGGCAGCATTGTATAAAGAATGCCTGTAGTCACGGAAAGATAAACTGGTCTAAAGAATGGAATGCAAGCATTATATGCTTCCTTCAAAAACCTCCATTGATCTTCTCAACTCAAGTAACCTTCAATGGTCTTCTCAAATAACCTTCACTGGTCTTTTCAAGTGCCTAGGATTTCTAAAACAAGGGGTATCTAATATAAACATCTTATTTCTAAAATGGAGAGTCCAGGAGGCCCCTTCTACCACCGGCAATTCTCTACTGATCACTAAGGCCACCTATCTAAAGGACCAATATCCACTTGAAGACCAAGCTTTTTCTGGCACTTTTTGGTAAAAATCAGTATTTTTTGCTAGAAAATTTCTTTGAACCCTCAAACATATATTTTTAAAGCAAAGGTCCTAGAGAATAAATTGGTTGGGGTTGCAATTTTTTAATGTCACACAATATTCAAGCAGCGGTTTTTCAAGCGCAATATTTTTTTTAATGTTAATGCAAAAAGACACAATACATAACCCAATTTTTGGTACAATATAAAAGATAATGTTATGCCGAGTAAATAGATACCAAACATGTTACCCTTTAACCAGTTGCCTACAGGGCACTTATACCCCCTTCCTGCCCAGGCCAATTTCCAGCTTTCAGTGCTGTTGCACTTTGAATGATAATTGCGTGGTCATGCAACACTGTACCCTAATGAAATTTTTATAATTTTTTTGTGACAGATAGAGCTTTATTTTGGTAGTATTTAATCACCTCTGGGTTTTTTATTTTTTCTTAAACAAACCAAAAGCCACAGGAAATGTTGAAAAAAAAACAAAACGTTTTTTCTTAGTTTTTGTTATAAAATTTTGTAAATAAATTATTTTCTTCTTCACTGATGTGCGCTAATGAGGCTGCAGTGATGGGCACTGATAGGCTGCACTGATGGACACTGATAGGTGGCACTGATGAGGAGGCACTGATGGGCATTGACAGGCATCACTGATGGGCACTGAAAGGCAGCACTCATATATGGCACTGATAGGCGGCACTGACTGGCACTGTTAGGTGGCACTGACTGGAACTGTTAGGCGGCACTGATAGGCAGCACTGACGGGCACTGATAGGCAACACTGATGCACACTGATAGGCGGCACTGACTGGCACTGATAGGTGGCACTGATTGGCAGCACTGATAAGTGGCACTGACTGGCATTGATAGGTGGCACTGACTGGCACTGATGAGTGACACTGAAAGGAGGCTCAGATGGGCACTGATATTTGGCATTGATGTGCACTGGTAGGCACTGAAATGTGGCATTGATGTGGCACTGATGGGCACTGGCAGGTGGCATGGATGAGCACTGACAGCTGACACTGATGGACACTGACAGGTGGCACTGCTGGGGCTACACAGATCATCAGGGCACACTGATCATCAGTGCCCTGATGATCAGTGTACATGTCCCCTCTGAGGGATGCCGATTACCGGCTCTCCTCTCCTCTCCTCTCGAGCTGTCAGCGTGACAGCTTGTGAGGAGAGAAATGCCGATAACCGGCATTTCCCTATTTACATGCAATCAGTTGTGATTGGACACAGCTGATCATATGACCGAGCCAACATCTTCTGCTCTTTCCGTTGATCGGTGATCCGCTGTGTCCGAGGGACACAGCGCACCGCCGATCACTGTGCTGCGCACTCCCGGAGCCGCGCATGCGCGGTTAGAATGGGAAGACGTCATATGACGTCCTCCCAGAACGAGAGAACCACCTTACGCCCATCATTGTACTATATGGTGGGCGGGAGGCAGTTAAAATTGTGCACGCCCATGCAACGGCGACAAACAATGTAAATTGTTTTATGCATAAGTGACACTTTAAAAGCCTTTACAGGTGACCACTTTTGATTTACAGAGGAGTTCTGGTACTAAAATTACTGGCCATGATCTGACGTTCGTGGTGATACCTCACATGTGTGGGACGATTGCTGCATGCGTGCGAGACCAACATGTGCATTCACCTTCACGCGTGAGCTCAGGGGGATGGGGGCACTTTCAATTTATTTATTTATAATTTTTACAGTGTCACTTTTTTTTTTTTAATCACTTTTATTTCTGTTGCAAGGAATGTAAACATCCCTTATGACAGCAATAGGCATGTGACAGCTGCTCTTTATGGAGAGATCTGGGGTCTATAAGAGCCACATCCCTCCACTGCCCTTCAAAGTATTTGATGCTTTTCTTTTTTAAAAATGGTTCCGTTTACTGCCATGTAAACTGGAAGTGATCTAAGGTTATCACTTCTGGGTTACTATATGATAGAGCTGAAAAAGCTGATCTGGTCTTTTTTGGCTCTATGATCAGCCGGCGGAAGTGCTGGCTAGTCGATCGAGACTCTCTAATGGGACTGGAGATCCCAGCAAAGCCGCAGAAGGGGGTGGCAGTGGAGGGGAACGTCCCCTCCAGCTTCTTGTAATAGCAATCCAGCAGCTAGTTAGCCCTTCTGATTGCTATTTGAAGGATGGAAAATTGGTACCAGGATGATGCTTGCAGCTGCAGGCATCATCCCGGTATAACTACTCAAACTCCAGCGATATACAGGTACGTTGCTAGAGCTCAAGTGGATAGTTGCAGGAGGAGGATCTCTTATCTCTCCTTTCTGAAGGTGAGATTTACCTTTTAGGTTGCCCTGAGTTTTGCAGGTTCTTGGGGTTTTTTGTTTTTCTTTAGTCTGTCCCCTGTGGGTCACAAGGTGACCATAAAGCAGGGGGAAAACCTCATTATAATGGAAACTATACAATGGCAGAGCAGGATTCCTTTCGTAGTTGCCCCCAATCAAGCACCCCTACTGTAACTTCTCAGGTAGGTTTCTCAACCGTTAGGGCCAAATTAGCTTTTCAGTGTGGTCAACTCTATGAGCTTGCTACTCCTCAAAAGGACCTCACTTCACTCTATGCCTGCTTGTGGTGAGTTCCAAAAAGACATACTCAAGAGGCACTGGGACTTTGAAATGTAATTGTTCACCAAAATAGAAAATGTAAGCAGAAAAAATGATTCTTCAACAAGTGCACTGATTTTGGTGAGGCTGTCTATAAGCCCCCATCGATTCTCCCCATCAGTGGCCTCAAAAATTTGACTCAAAACATAAAACCACAACAGAAGGCCAGACCAATTGGTGAAAAAGTCCAAGTAGCTTTGATGATTCATCATATCATCTCATAACACAGCCAACAGTTCTCAGGGCCTCAAAACAATGCCCCGTCATGAGGGGTTAATTATTGAGTATGGTTAAAGGACTCGAAGAGGCAGAATCACCAGTATATGTTAATCAAACAGTGATGTGTGAAATATCTCCAGATATTTCTGGAGAGCAATTTCAGAAGGTGGTCACCAATGGGAGGCTTTGTATATCTCACAGTATAGGTTCCGTTTAAGCATTGTAAAAATAAGTTCTGCAATGAGAAACATAAATAGAGCAACAGATCTGTAACAATGAGCGCTGTGATGAATGGAAGAATAATACCACAGAAGAGGATGGATTGATATTTGTGAATCATAATACAATTACTTCCTTTCTCCCACTCACACAGGAACTACTGTATATGGATTCGCAATGTTATTCTAATCTTTACCCCTAGAATTGTGGTCCTCGGGACAATCAGAGCTCTGAACAATGTCAACGTTGGACAAAAACCTCATGTGTCAGAGGGTCCCTGATCTTGCCAGCTAGTCAAGAAAACTGTGCCCCCCACCCCCATTCATTTTATTGCCACTCTGAAATAAGCATCACAAGAGGTCTCATTCATCTCCCTCACCTTCCTATGTTCACTTCAAAGGGTATTTTTTTCAAAGGCAGAACATTGCTGATCATGGACCCACCATTCCTGACTCCTAAGCTGGCCGCACACAGATTTTCTTTCAAACATATACAAAAAATTCTGAAACATTGTTCGTCAGAGCATTTGATGGTACCATCAGTGAGGCAACTAGTTTTGTTTGTAGGCTCCTTACAGGAAAAAAGCAGCAGAAAAAAATGCGGTAAAGTCATGTTTTTGCATGCGCATGTAGCACCCTCTAGTGTGCTACTAGTGTTAGTGTAGGTAAATTTATTATGGTTTGACTCATGGTAACTGTGTGAGTTTGTAATTAGGCCAGGTTACTGCAGGTCAGGCTGAGGACTCTATCGTCTCCACCTGGTTCCGGAGGACCATAGAAGCTTCCAGAAGCCAGTGGGTGGAGGAGATGGAGACCTAAATCTGTGTGTTTTTGGGAATCTAACTCATCCCAGGCTTGGAGGCTCTTGTAGTGTGCTGAGGCTAACCCATAAATATGGGAGAGTCAGGCTAGTAGGAGAGTGGGGTGGAAGATGAAGTGCTGGGGAGGCTGTTGGTGGCCTGGGAGTGCTCATCAGTGCAGCCTATCAGTGTCCATCAGTGCTGCCTCATCAGCATACATCAGTGAAGGAGAAATATCACTTATTTACAAAACTTTATAACAGAAACTAAGAAAAACTTTTTTTTTAAAATGTTTGATCATTTTTTCGTTTGTTTAGCAAAAAATAAAACCCCCAGTGATGATTAATTACCACCAAAAGAAAGCTCTATTTGTTTAAAAAAAAATGATAAAAATGTAGTTTGGGCATAGTACTGCATGACCGTGCAATTGTCATTCAAAATGCAACAGCGCTGAAAGCTGAAAATTGGCCTGAGCAGGAAGGGGGTAGAAGTGCCTGGTAGGCAAGTGGTTAACATTACCCGCTTCCCTACCGCCCTATAGCAAAAATACTGCTACAGGGCAGCACGGGTGCAAAAAATCACACATATATACGTGATTTTGCATTTCTTGGTAGGTGGGGCGTGCGAGTACCCGCACCGCCATTCGCGGCCGCAGCTGTCAATCACTGGGTCCCAGCCGGTGATTACTCATCGGCACCTGGTGATTTCCAAGGGTCTCCAAGGGGGAGGAGGACTGTTTTGTTTTTTAACAGTTCTCCTACCTGTTAGCTCAGGCACACTGCTTTGGATGGCTGTGCACAGCACAGCCATCCAAAGCAATGTGATTACAGTGAAGCACACAGACACCGCCCCCTAGTAAAACACACCCAGCACACAGATCGTCTTTCATGTTCACCCCTTCCTGCCCAGTGCCATTAGTACAGTGTCAGTGCTTTTTTTAGCACTGATCACTGTATTGGTGTCACTGGAGATGTCAGTGACACCAAGTCAGTTCCCCCCCAGTGTCAGAATGTCCGCCGTAGTCCCACTATAAGTATCTGATCGCCGCCATTACTAGTAAAAATGAAAAATAAAAATCCCAGTATATATACCACTATTTGTAAACACTTTAACTTTCACGTAAACCAATTAATTTACACGTATTGGGAATTTTTTTAGCAAAGACATGTCATAGAATAAATTTAACAAAAATTTATGACGAAATTAGATTTTTTACATTTTTTTACTGGACATATTTAATAGCAAAAAGTCAAATATTGATTTTTCCTCAAAATTGTCAGTCTTTTTTTTTATAGCGCAAAAAAAATAAAAAATGCACAAGAGATCAAATACCACTGAAAGAAAGCTCAATTTGTGAGAAAAAAAAGGACGTAAATTTCTTTTGGGTGAAGTGTTGCATGACCGCGCAATTGTCAAAGTAATGCAGCGCCGTAATGCAAAAAATGGCCTGGTCAGGGAGGGGGGTAAATCAATAAAAACTGATGGTTGTAAGCACCCATCAGTGGTAAATGGTTTGTCTTTTCCCTGTAACTGTTACAGCTGTAGGACAGCTTCTTCTGATGAAAAACAAAACGAATGCAGCCGCCAATTGGTAAGCTGCAATATGAAATATGTTTGCTTTGGGGTCTAATACCTCTTTAACCGCTTCCCGACCGCGCTATAACAGAAGTACTGCAACAGGGAGGCAGGGATGTGCAAAATCACGTGTGTGTATATATGCGACTTTGTATTCCTGGGTAGGGGGCGTGCGTGCGCTCTCTACCCGCGCCGCTATTGACTCCTCAGCATGTCAATCACCGGGTCCTGGCCACCGATTCTTGTCGGGACTCGGTGATTGTCGGCAGAGCTGACAGGGGAGAGGTCTGTGTGTAAACAATACAGATCTCTCCCTTGCCAGCAGAAATTGGCTGCTTTGTATCTGTCTGCACAGAAGAGCAATACAAAGCAGCATGTTTCCCTAGTAAAACACAGCACACAGTTAACCCTTTGATCGCCCCAGATGTTAATCGCTTCCTGCCAAGTGCCATTAGTAAAGTGCCAGTGCTTTTTATTAGCACAGATCACTGTATTGGTGTCACTGGGGATGTCAATGGCAGTTAGTCAGTTTCCCCCCAGTGTCAGAATGCCCTCCGCAGTCCCACTATAAGTCGTTGATCGCCGGCATTACTAGTAAAAAAAAAAAAATTCCAGTATCTGTACCGCCATTTGTAAACGCTATAACTTTCACGTAAACCAATTAATTTACACGTATTGGGATTTTGT